CATGCACCATCCTTTTTGAGCCGTCAAAGGCTCTCACTACTATGTTGCTTGGTTTCAATGTCAATCCCTTGCAGTCAAGCCTATCAAGAGCCTTTTTAGGCAATACATTCAGAGATGAACTGGTGTCAACCAACACATGAGCCAAGGTCGTGCCGCTGCATTCCACTGAGACATGTAATGCCTCATTATGCTTCCTTCCTCTTGGCGTTAAATTAGCATCCGAAAAACCTAGACCATTATCTGCAGTCAAGCTGTCTACGCAGTCTTGGAACTGATCGGCAGATGTTTCTTGGGGTACATGGGCAGTTTTCAGGAATTTTACCAAGGCTTTTGTATGCGCCTCAGAACATAGTAGTAAAGCCAGCAGGGAAATTTTAGATGGAGTTTGCCCCAGTTGCTCAACTACATCGTAGTCGCTTCTTTTTATAATCTTTAGAATTTCCTCCATCTCTTTCCGGGATGTCTCAAGGATAGCAAATGATTGTGCCTTCGTCCGAACAGGCTCAATCAGAATACTTTTACCTCAAGTCCTGGTTGATTCGGCAGCAGAAATGTCAGTAGAAGTGATAACAGGGGTTGTATCAGCTTTGTTAGTTGGAGTACTAGCATAGATGATTGTAGTATTGGGAACAACCTTTGGAGGAGCAACAACAACAGGAATGATTACGGGTCCAGAAATAACCTTTGGGGGAGCAATTTCTGGAGAGAAAAACCTTCCGCTTCGGGTAATCTTGCTAGTCCCTACAATATTACTGATATCAGAGTCAACTTTCTCAGAACTTGAATCTTCGGCAGCTGGCCAATCTTGCTTGATACTGTGGTAGTAGACATCGCCTCCATAATTTCATGGTACGGTTTTGTCTGACGAATACAGGATTGGTCCAGGCATTATAATTATCAAAGGAGCTACTTTTGGAACTGATGTAATTCTAACGGGTCTTTTGGTGGAGACCCTGGAAGAATTATCGGAAATGGTCACGATGGAAACATCATTATAAGAAACAGTTGGATTTGAAGCCTTCTCGAACAAAATTTCCTTGTTATCTATTAGGCACTGAACGCCTGCTTTCAACAAAGGACAGCTGGTTGGTGAGGACAAACAGAAATGACAGTTTTCACCACAGCCTGGGAAAACACTGGCATTCAATAAGTTCTTTTTGATAACCAGGAGTGAGGTCATAAGTTCATCAACTGAAGTAACAAACATATCTTCCTCAATAGCATTGGTATTATGGCCATGTTTGGGTATAGGGGCAGAAATGACATTGGGCTTTTCTGGCGCGTCGAACTCAATATCTTTGACTTCAAGGAGGTCTTGTACTTTGTCCTTTAGAGTCCAACAGTTGTTAGTGTCATGGCCGGGACTCTCAGAATGGTATGCACAGCGGGCATTAGGATGATAGTGAGGAGAGGTTGTGTTAGGGTTCTTTGGAGCTTCTTTCAAAGTCACTAGGTATGATCTTAACAGATACGGCAATACTTGAGATAGGGTCATGTTAATTCTGGTGAATTGTCTGACTGGTCTTTCCATTCTTGGTTGGTTGTTTCTTTGTTAATCAGGCGCGGGTTTAGGAATCATAACAGCCCCCACTATTGGACGACGTTCAACCCTATCTTGATTTCTTTGAGGATATACAACAACCACTTCTTTCTTTCCGATGAATGGCTTCCTTACAGCAGTAGAGGAAGCATCTTTTTGAATCTTTCCATTCTTTATCCCGGCTTCTACCCTTTCTCCAGTTAATATCAATTCAGTAAAACCTGCCGATGAACTCCCAATTAGGTGATTGAAGAAGGGACCAGACAATGTGCCTAAAACATGTCTACCAACTCTCTTTAAGATATGGGAGGTTGAATTCTTCTGGCCAAGTCTCTCCATTTTTGCGCATAGTCCTTGAAGCCTTCACTTGAGACCATGGCCATACTCTGGAGTTGAGTACGGGTAGGCGCAAGATCAACATTGTATTGGTATTGTTTGTAAAAGGCTGCAGCAAGATCTTCCCAGTTATGAACATTGGCTCTTTCTAACTGATAAAACCAATTAAGTTGAGTTCCAGACAGACTGTCTTGGAAGAGGTGTACCCATAAATCTTTGTCGGCAGTATGAGGCTATATTTTCCTTACATAGGACCGGAGATGCATTTTGGGGTATGAGACTCCGTCGTATTTGGCGAACACAGGTGCTTTGAATTTGGGAGGAATGACAATCCCCGACACTAGGCCCAACTCCTCAAAGTCCAAGCCAGACACTTTTTGAATTTACATTGCGCTCAACCTGTCTTCTAGATGCTTATACTTGTCGTCTGCTGGAGGGTATTTTTCTTCAAAGTAGTCTTCTTCTTCCTCTTCCTCTTCTGAATCAGACTGAACAACCGTTTCTTTGCTTTTCCCATCTTGATTGTCTTTCTCACCGGATGTCGTTGCAAAGTCTAAGGTTCTTCTTGTCTGCCCTTGGAATCTTCTTCCCATGTTCAGGATTCCGTTTATTTTCTTCGTCTTCTTTTTCTTCTCCTCAACTAGCAAGGTTTTCAACTCTTCTTGTCCTTTGGCCAGAGTTAAGAACAACTATTGAAACTGTGCATTCTGATCTTGGAGGTCCTTCACTGTTTGCTCGAGATCCATCTTACTAAAATAAACAGTAGAGAGATGAGGAGACTTGTTGCAAGAAACCTGCTTATGTTATGACGAATGATAAATTCATATGCAATAATTCCAAGGATTTTAAGATTCAAATTTGTTGTAGACAAAAAGGAAACACACGTTATATTAATAAATTAAAGCTTGAGTACATCAGTGCCTCCTTGGGCAAAACAAATACAAAAACTCTAAGATAGAAAGGTAGTACGCATCCTCTTTGGTGCAATGTAGGCATTCAAAGTCTGCTCCTCATGAAGTAGTCTAGTGAGTTCCAAAATCTTCTTCTCGCTTGCGTAGAATTGGGCTTCGAAAGTATCTCGCTCCCCCTTGAGTTGTATCAAATCCCTTTGTAGGTCTTCAAGAGAGGTGGGCATGTCAGGATGTAGGATAGTATATAGAACATCTCCTTTCATAACAGGCTCAATGATTACCGGGAGAATGGAGGGATAAGGCATCATTAGATTTTGAGCACGAGTTCATACTCATTTGAGGTAAGGCTCAAGAGGGATGGAATTCTTGTGCCCCAAAGTCTTACTATCTACCTTGTTCAACATCCTCCAAGCTCGGATAAATCTCTGGCGAAGACCTTAATCGTTGTTGTCGTAGTCAAATACCAAACCTTGAATCAGCATCTCATGCGAGCCATCCCTTCGGGCGTAACCAAACTGTCTTAAAGCTAAACAGGGATTGTAGGCGATACCTCCCCTAATGCCAAGTAAAGGGACATTAGGAAATTCTCCACAACGGTCGATAATAGTAACATTCTCTATGGATCAGGAGCACCAATGAATTTATGAATATTTGACCGTCATCAACTTAAACCAATCAATCATTTTCTAGGTCAAAAATTAGAAATTGCATTTTCTCAGTCAAAACCCTAATTTTAACCATTTTGCCCTTTTGATGATCTGATCAACTTTCTTGAGGAATTATGATCCAAACTTGATCAATTGACATATATAAGTTCATATTATTGATATGGACCAAAAATTATGAAGTTTGACTGTAAATTGACCATAGTTGACTTTTTCCCCAATACAATTGATTTTAGGTCAATTGATCAATTGACTGAGCAAAAATATGATCCAAGACTTGAAACTTGACATGAGAAATATTGAGGGTCCAAAATGATCCATTAAAGTCATATGGGGCATTAAAAGTCCATTTGTCCTTGTGCAATCTCAAACCCTAATTTTCAGTCATTAGTGCTTGAGGAGATATCTTGAGCTGATCAACCTTTGTGCAGTCTTGAACCAAAGGAGATTTTGTGAGAGATTACTTGATAAATAAGAGGAAAAATTTTGGGGTACAACAATCACACTCAACATGTTGAATCTGCAACTTGAAACATCTTGTTTAACATGTTGCTGAAAAGTTAGTTTTACCAAAATTCATGTCAATCATAATTTCAGAGAAATAACAAACTTACTCTAAGAGTAAGTTTTTTTAACTTATTCCAAATTATAACGTTTAAATTGAATTAAATTTGCTGGTTCATTAAGTAAAAATGTTAATTAACCACTAAATTAGATTCAATTTAAATGTTGTAAAATGTGTGTGTGTGTGTGTATGTGTGTGTGTGTATGTGTGTGTGTGCGCGCGTGTGTGTGTGTGTGTGTGCGTGCGTGCGTGTGTGTGTGTCATAAAAACATTTGTTGATAAAGAGAAAGAAAATATATTTTGAGACTGTTAAAAAATCAGAAAGTCGAAAAATAACAAGAATGTCTAATTCGGGAGGTTCGTGGATTTCAGATTTGACTGGTTCGCGTTATTTAATGTTAGAATATTAAATATATATTAATTTAGAAATAGTCTAAATTAATATCAAATATATTATAAGATATTTATAATATTTTATTTTAATAATTAATGAGTCGTGCTTCTGGGCTTGAGTTTTAGCTATTATAAATATGTATCACTTTATTGTATTTAAATGTGACAATCTTAAAGCTTACAGCAAAAGGGAGAGCAAGTGTTTAAAGACGTATCATAGGGTTTTGGTTATTCTCAAGGGAAATTTTAGAATGACAAGGATTTTGGAAACCTTTTGAGTTATATATGGGATCTAAGGGAATTGAGGAATTGGAAAACACTTGTTTACACCTTGAATTTTGGTTATTCATATATTGAAGGTTGAAAGGTTGAGAAACACTTGGGTAGAAAATAAGATTAATTTTGAGAGCCTTCGGGGTTGTTCTTGGGAACTTGAAGATTGTTGTTAGGACGAGGACCATCACATATTTATGATCCGTGATAATGACTAAATATTCACTATTATTTCGAAGGTTCAAAATTAAGTGGCTTAAGAAGGGAGATGGTAACATTGATTTGTTCATTCTTCTGTTAAGAGTAAAGTAAAAGGAATGCTTTTGTCAAGAATAGAAGTAGCAGGAATGGTATCTGAGATCCGTCGGGAGGTGATTAGTTTTTTCTCCAATCATTTTAAAGAACCTCTTGTTGATCAACCCAATTTAGATGTGGTTGTCTTCCACACGTTTTCTAGTGAGGATAGTGTCACTCTTACCACTCCTTTTATTCTCATTGAAATCAATCAGACAGTTGCTCATTGTGAAGGTAATAAGAGTTTTGGACCGGATGGGTTCAATATCTTAATTTTTTATATGATTTTAACACCTTCTTAAGGAGGATTTAGGTATGATGTTCTTCACTGTTTTGCCTCTCTATCGTGTTTCTTCTCGTCCTATTTTTTCACCTTGATTATAGAGGTTGAATCTGCTACTTAGCTGGGTAATTTTCAACTTTTTTCTTATGTGTATTCTCTTTATAAACTTGTTGCTAAAGTGTTAGTAGCTAGACAATCTGAGGTTATGGATAAACCTGTTTGCCATATTCAAATACATTTCTTTAAAGTGAGGTTACTAGTTGATGGGGTGATTGTTATGAATGAGTTGGTAGACTTGACGAAGAAAAGTAAAAAAGCTTATCTTATTTTTAAGGCGGATTTCGAAAAGTCATATAATTTAATTATTTGGAATTTTTTGAATTATTGTTTAAGCCTATCTTATCCTATGTGTAAGGGACTGGTCGAATCGGTTTTTCATTTGTGTATGACATGTGAAGTGGAGATGTAGGTGTGATATATGAGTTTTAAGTTGTTGATGTGATATTTTTTTCTTCCTATGAATCTTTTGGATCTCTTTAAATTGTTTATCTCATTGGGAATAGTGTATAAGATTATGGGTGATCTCTTCTGGATATTGGAATTCAGTTGCGTGATCAATATGAAATTTTTGAAACTGTGTTGTGTTTACAAGTTTGTTTACTAGTGTGAAAGACTCGTAGGAAAAAACATTCTCCTGACATAGATACGGTATCTTGGTAGATTTTTTATTTACTCGTATGTTTTTTGTGAATCCTATTCTTTGTCGGAGTTAAAAGTGATTTGAGAGTCTATGACCTTGTTTTTGTGCTAGAGTGTTTTCGGAACTTTCTCTAGGGGACTATTTTTTATTAATAGGGGATTCTTTGATCTGGGATGCAGCCATTATACCTCTATTTTAATGCAATGTGTATTGTTTTGATTTTTTCTCTTTTTTGTCTAGGCTGGATTTTATGTATCTTTTTCTATTTTTGTAGATTTTTTAATCTTTTTGTTTTCACTATTTGTTTTTCGCTATTGTTTTTAGTGCTCTTCTTTACAATAAATACCAAGCTAAAAATCATAAGTGAACCACATATTTCCTCGGTTTGACAATTGAGAAGAAGATTATGATCAACTCCCTTTTAAATCTTAAAAACTGCATTCATATTTTATTTTATATTTTTTTATTTATGGCATATTCTCTTGTCTCCTCTGGCAACCGATCAAGGAGAAATATTTTGATCAACCCCCCTTTCGAGTTCTAGCAATGTCAGTTTAGTTACACTTATTTATTTTTAAAATTATTTAATACCTATTTCTTTGGTTTGGCTAGAAATTGGGAAAACATGTGTGTTTTTTATTTAACCAACACATATTTTCCATCCACCTATAAAGTAATAATGGTCAAGACATTATTAACATGTCAATTCATATTAAATATCAGGGATCCACGTGAAACTCATATTAACCAATATATTATAACGTAAATACTGTTAAATTATAATCCAGTGTGTCAAAACTATGTGTCGAAAAGATTTGATTTGTTTTAGATTTAAATAGATTTGATTTAAGTCTAGAATAAATTAGATTTGATTTAGTAACAAAAAAATATTTTAGGCTTTGGGTGTAAACTCAGTTATAAATAGAGGGAGTAACCCCTATTTTTGTAAGCAAGTCAATTAAGTTGTATTCACAGAATTTGCAGTTGCAAGTAAATAACAAAGTTTTTCACAGTTTGTGGGCAGAGAGAAACTCTGCAGAAAATAATTGTTTTCTTTCTTTTCTTTGTTTGTCTTATAATTAAATTGTCATTGTGGTAGAAATTCATCATAATTTGGTGGATTTCCAACATCTGGTATCAAGAGCTTTGTTTCGATTTGAGGGAAGTATCAATTAAGAACGATTGAAGAATTCACGATGACAGGTTATGAGAATGCAAACTATCCAGCAACGCTACCAATTCCGAAAGTTGACAACTATGAGAATTTGTGCAAACAGATGAAAGTCTTATTCAGGTGTCAAGGTCTTTGGGACCTTGTAAAAGATAGAGTTGAAGCGCTTGGAGAAAACGCTTCAGAAGAAGAAAAGAAGAAATACATAGAATCTGAGAAGCTGAGTTATAAAGAATTATTTATAATTCATCAATGTGTCAGCCCAGACAATTTCGAAAAGGTTAGTGATTTAGAATCTGCAAAAGAAGCTTGGAAAATCCTTGAGAAGTCTTTTGGAGGCGCTGAGAAAGTGAAAGAAGTGAGGTTACAAACTCACAAAAGGACCTATGAATTGCTTCAGATGGAAGACAGTGAAAGCATATCTGATTTCTTCACTAGAGTTACAAAACTAGTAAATCAAATCAAGATATATGGAGAAGCATTAATAACAAGAGTTGTTCTTTCGAAGATCTTGAGATCTTTAGCTGCTAAGTTCGACCACATAGTGGTGGCGATAGAAGAGGAGAAAGACTTGTCGAAATTGACAAAAGAAGAGCTTCAAGGGACGCTTGAATCTCATGAACAAAGAATGAATGAAAGAGCTGCAAGCAAATCGAAGAGTGATGTGGCCTTGCAAGCACATTCAGCAAAAGAAACCAAAGACAAAGGAAAGTGTTTCGATAGAGGTAGAGGTGGCTACAAAAAATCGAATGGTAAAGGAAACCAGATCGAAGGAAACATTTTGAATTAAAGAAAACCATACCAAGGCAAATAGAGGAAGAGGTGGTGGTCGAAAACCTGATAAGAGTCACATTCAATGTTATAATTGTCAGAAGTATGGTCACTATTCTAGTGATTGTCCAGAAAAATGAAAGAATCAAGAAAGTGATGTAAAGCTTGCAAAACATGAAGAAGAAGAAGAAGAAGAAGAAGCGATGATGCTGATGGTCACAAAAAGAGATGAAGATAGATTCAAGGACCCATGGTACTTGGATTCAGGATGTTCATCACATATGTCTGGAAGGAAAGACTGGTTTGTCAATATAAAGCCCTCAATAAAAAATATGGTAAAGTTTGCAAATGACAATACCCTAGCAGCTGAAGGTATTGGTGATGTTATGATTATGAGGAAAGATGGCAAAAGGTCAGTAATCTCCAATGTATTGTACATACCAGGCATGAAGAGCAATTTGCTCAATATAGGGCAGTTGATCAAAAAGAATTTTAAAGTGTCAATCGAAGATAAGATGATGAGAGTCGTTGATGCAAATGGGAGATTAATCTTGAAGGCTCCTATGTCTCAGAATCAAACCTTCAAGATTGAACTAAATGTGATGGAGCACAAGTGCCTTTCGACTGCAGCTAGCAGAGATGAATGGATATGGCATTATAGACTAGGCCATCTCACCTTCAGAGACATCAGAGATTTGAAGAGAAGAAATATGGTTTCAGGATTGTCAGAAATCGACATTCCAAACGAGGTATGTGAGGAATGTGTGCAGGCGAAGCAACATAAGAATAGCTTCAGCAAGGATGCAAGAAGCAAGTCGAAGGCTAGTCTTGAAGTCATATACTCTGATGTATGTGGACCAATCCAGGTGGATTCGATGGGAGGTAACAAATACTTTGTTACATTCATAGATGGTTTCAGTCAAAAGTTGTGGACTTATCTGATCAAGAAGAAAAGTGAAGTGGTCAAAGTATTTTCCAAGTTTAAGTCTATGGTCGAAAGACAAAGTGGTCGAAAGCTCAAAGTTTTGAGAACTGATGGTGGTGGAGAATATGTGTTGAAAGACTTCGACAGGCTATGTGAGAAGGAAGGGATTGTGCATGAGGTAGTGCCACCTTATACTCCACAACAAAATGGAATTGCAGAAAGGAAGAATCGAACCATCATGAATAGGGTGAGAAGTATGTTGAAAGGCAAGAACTTACCTAAAGAGTTTTGGGGTGAAGTTGTTTCGACTGCAACATACATTTTGAAAAGATGTCCTACAAAGAAGCTAGAAGGAATTACTCCAGAAGAATGTTGGTCTAGTGTGAAGCCTAGCTTGAGTCATATGAAGGTATTTGGATCTATTGCATATAGACATGTGCCAGATCAGTTGAGAAGAAAACTCGATGACAAGTTAAGTCAAATGATTCTAGTTGGATATCATTCGACAGGAGGCTATAAGTTGTTTGATCCAGAGAACAAGAAGATTGTGATCAGCAGGGACGTGATCATAGATGAGTTTAAAGAATGAGATTGGACTGAAAATGTCAAGAAAGATTCAGTGGGAATCCTATTAGAAGAGCCAGAAACTCAAGTCGAAAGAGAAGTTCGACAAGAGAAACCAGCAGATATACCAAGTACAAGCAGACCACAAAGAACATGACACACGCCTGCAAGATTGCAAGATTGTGTGATTACATCAGATGATGTGATAGATGATGAAGGTGAGCTGGTACATTATGCTTTCTATGAAGATGTCGAACTTGTTAATGCAGCTGAAGCATTAAAGGATTCGAAGTGGGTGAAAGCAATGAACGTAGAAGTGAAGTCTATCGAAGACAATAACACTTGGTCACTTGTCGAATTGCCTCAAGGCAAGAAGGAAATTGATGTCAAGTGGGTATACAAAAGGTGAAGTAACTCGACACAAAGCAAGGCTTGTAGCGAAAGGATTTCTACAGAAAGAAGGAATAGACTTCGATGAAGTTTTTGCACCTGTTGCTAGGATCGAAACAATTAGGTTGGTTGTTGGTCTAGCAGAAATAAACAGTTGGCACATATGTCAGATGGACGTGAAGTGTGCATTCCTAAATGGACCCTTAGATAAAGAAGTCTATGTTAAACAACCAGTTGGGTTTGTGAATCATGACGAAGAAAGAAAGGTGTACAGGCTGCATAAAGCCTTGTATGGATTGAAACAAGCTCCAAGAGCTTGGAATAATAAAATTGATAGTTTCCTAAGGGAGAAGGAATTTGTAAAATGCACAACTGAACATGGAGTATATGTAAGAAGAAGCAATAGTGAATTGCTTATACTATGTCTCTGTGTAGATGATTTGTTGATAACAGGTAGCTGTAAAAGTGAGATCGAAGACTTCAAAGGTGATCTCAGCA